GATTAAAATCTGATTATAGTAAAATCACTAATATTGCTAATATAGTTTTGATTTACTTAGTTGATTTACCACCCCAACAATTCACCATCACTACAATAGATTTATATTATAAAAAATTTTTTTAAAACAATGGTTTAATCTAGTCTGTCATTTAATGACGTGTTTAACATTCAGTAAGCTGTTATAATTAATCTTTTAGAAATCCGTTCCTGGTTTTGTACAACTCGTTGCACAGCTACCTTATTTATGTAGTGATAAACAAGGTTTTATTCACAATATTTTTGGATATATCTCAAATCTTCCCCATCAAATATTTTTCAATCATGACGCGGACAATTTTCTTTAGAGTTCGTTTATGTTAGGGTTATGTTTAGAGATGGGTTTCATGCGTGCGCATGATTGCGGAATCATGCGCATTAATGCGTATTTATGCACATGATTCCGTTTCATGCGCATTTTATCCCATCAAGATTTCTCTCCTCTCAATCATTTTTTCTTTTTTTTACCTTTTTTTTATCATGCAATATCATGCGCATAAAACATTTTGTGCATATTAATGCACATTCATGCGCATGTTATTATAATATGCGCATTTTTCCCATCACTAGCCACAACCCCGCTCTCAAATCACAGAACAGATGGATGAGGCAGGATCAAAAAACGAATCAATCAGTTAAATTGCATGAATCAACAATATAACAGAAAGGCCACCGATCACAATTGATATATAAATAACTGAAAAACAAGATACAGTAATTTGATACCCTTTCCCACTTTGACACAACAATCTTCGGCAAACAAATTTCTTGACCCAACCTCTCCCGCCACACAATGTAGTCTCCTGATTCTGCCATTTTTCTATTTAACAGCCGGCCTGCTTCGAGCAGGCAGGAAACCACCAGCTGATGCTGCTTCTCGCTCATTCTACTTCTTGCTCATTCTACTTCTTGCTCATTCTACTTCTCGCTCATTTACTGTTATGATAATACCTGGTGCAATCTCACTTGCTAATTTTCTGGGAGCATATCATCGTTTCAGTTCGATTTACTTAGCTAAATTTACTTAGCTAAAATTACTCATAATATCATAATATATTCTGCGGACTTCATGTCCTTTAATTGAATTTATTTCTGGCACCTTTGGCTAGCCGGCATTTATCCAACCACATAACCAGTCATACCGATGCTTTTCGAACCTGGTTATTTGTATTCATTGTAAAAAAAACTTTCATCAATAGACTAAATTTTAAGAAAATAATTATTTTTATTACATCATAGCAATAGTAATATTACAATTGATTAATTAATCATTACATATTACATATTACAATAAATATCAAACTTTAAATCTCTACATTTCTCTTTCAATCATCCTCCACGCAAGTATGTACATCATGTGGAACGTTCGCATCATATTTTCGTTCATTAGCACTACCCTTCTCACTAACAACCTGACTACTTATTTCTTGTTCATGTAGTGAACTTTTTTTACTCAACAATCCCGAAACCTAATACAAGGGCTGTTCCAGAACTACACGATACTAATGCTAAGGCTAGAATTGTATTCACATGATCTTGTGGACCCATGGGTCTGTGAGATCATGTGATATCAGCTTTCTCAAGAATACTATTATGATAATGAACTTTGGATGAACTTTGGATGATCGAGGATTATGATAAGATGACCTTAATGTTAACATTTTGGTTGCCATCAATGGAAATCAGCAATTTTAAAAAAAATTAATACCTCAACTTTCATAGTTCATATCTCAATGAATTTTGGAGATATCTTAATGATTTAATAGTCAAAAGGAAGCATAAATCTTAAATTTTCTTTGAACTATTAAATTATTAAGGTATTTCCGAAATTTATCGAGATGTGAGCTGTGAAAGTTAAGGTATTAATTTTTTTTAAATTGTCAATCTATTGACGGCGGCTCATTTGTAGATCAGTCACATCAACCAATCAAATTTCGAGTTTGATTTCATCGATAGTCTCAAAACACTATTTTTCAAAACAAGATACTTCAAAGGTTTTTGTCGTAAGAGGAAAAAAATATAGATAGTTTAAAAATATGAAACAACAAAAATTTTTTGTTATAATGAAGAATATCAGTTATATTGTAAGATACAAGTGTTAGCTTATAAGCGAAAATTGTCATTTTTTACAAAACATATAGATCGCCATATAATTTTATATGTGCTGCAACTCACAGATTCCTTGACATTACACTTGACCGATACAGTATCAGATGATTAAAAATTCGGATAATCGTGTATTAGAATTTATATATCATGGTCATCCGAATTTTTGATCATCTGAAGTTTTTATATGAATTTGTATAAAAACTTTGATAATCAAAAATTTGGATATTCATGATATATAAATTCTAATACACGAACATTCGAATTTCGATCATCCAAATTTTTATCTAAATTTGTTAAATACCAAATTGATAAAAAATTCGAATAACCATGTAATAGATTTTATATAACATGGTTAAATATACATTATTCGAATTTTCGATCATTCGAATTTTTCCTAATTTGATAATATACGACATAAAAATCCAAAGGATTCGGATTATCGTGTGTTGACTGTATCATGGTCATTCGAATTTTTTATCATCTGGTATTTAACAAATTTAGATAAAAATTCGGATGATCGAAATTCGAATGTCCATGTATTAGAATTTATATATCACGGGCATTCGAATTTTTGATCATCGAAGATACAAATTCATATAAAACTTCGGATGATCAAAAATTTGAATGACCATGATATATAACGATAAACTCTAATATATGGTCATCCAAATTTTTGATCATCTGAAGTTTTATGCAAATTTGTATAAATCCTTGGATGATCAAAAATTCGGATAACTATAACATATGAATTCTAATACACAGTTACTCGAAGATTTACTGCGGAAATTCGGATTATCGAAATTCAGATTATCGTGAGTCAACCAGTACTTTCTTTCGATCACTATAATTAGCCCAGGTGAAAATAATTTTTTTTAATTAAATTTTTTTTTAATTATTTTGCTATATAACGCTAATTTATTTTTTAAAAATTTTACTTACTTATTTCATTTTTATTTTTTTTAAAATCTATTATTTGCTTTTCTTTTTATTTATTTATTTATTTATTGTTTTCTCATTAATTTATTTTTCCTATTATTTTTTTTGAATTGTATCCTTTAAGCAATGGTGATTTTGCTAGTATACGAAAAATCAGGATGTACCGGTAAGATAATTGGCCATTTTATTTGCTTCTAAAAATTCCTCTTAAATTTTATTATTAACACCCTGAACATAGAGCGAGAAATACGCCTTGAACGCAGGTGTAACCAATGTGAAAAAAAGAGAGATGCGGAAACTATTGAAAAAGAAAAGAATGCATTGAACGTAGGCATAACCAATAAAAAAAGAAAGTGAATACAGAAGCAAATGGAGATTAGCTTGTTCTTGTAATCTGGCCGATTCATTTTTATGAATATACTTTTTAAATTATGTATTTTATTCTAGCCGGGTTAAAGCTGCTGTAAAAATTCAAATATAATTATTTAAATGATCTAATTATTTAAATTATTGTGATCTAATAAGTGAGAAAACAATTCTTTAAATAATCAATCACATTATTAATTTAATTCATAGTGTTAAATTGTATTTAAGAACTGATTTTGATTTTACAAAGTTAAAGCCTTCTTACATTTTCGTTGACTGATAAAGATAAGTATATGATAGTTATGCATATTTATACTATAAGGAACAAACATCAATATAAAGCTGCTTCTCTTGTATAATGTTATCTAATTGTGATCTAAAAAAAAAAGAAACTGATAGGTTCATTTACACTAAACGATTTTTATTAATATCTTGCAAATAAATAGATTTCTTGAAAATTTGTTCGGAACCCAACGGTAAGGCCATGAAATTTAAAAAATAAAAAAAAAAGGCCGGTCGGCCGGGTTTATTTGAAAATTTCATGTTATGAAAACCTTGCAATTAATTTTGTTTGGCCTAATATTGCTTAAAGATTTTATATTTCTTTGTTGCTAATTATTTTTTTGCGTCTCATCCGAAAAATAACAATAAAATAAAAAAATTGTAAATATTTTCTTGTCAATTAATAAACTTCTGGAAAAAATAGTTTAAAAAAACTAACGCTAGTAAAGAAAAAAAAAATATTTAAAAATTTACAAGAATTATTTTATAGAATATAAATCTGATATAATCTTGATAATTTCCTTCCTTAAACTGTTCATCTTTTAGTAAAAATTTACAAAGTATATCTAACGTGAAATATCTTTTTGCTTCAGTTGTGAATCCTAAAATTTCTTCAAAAGTTGGAATATACTCTAAAAATTGACTATTTTGTATCAAATATAATAAACAGTTCCGCCCAAATGGGCCAAAAATTAATAGTACTGTTTGCGCAGTTTGCAAAATTTTCTCAATTACTTGGATTGTTCGAATAGAATAATTTTGTAATAATAAGCTAGGTATATTCATTGTGATGTGTCTATCATAAAACAAACCACCCTTAATATTAAGTGTGTTTTTAAAGTATATGGCCGTGTCATATAAATCTAAAATATTATAATCAATTGGTTTTTCTTCAACAATATGGTATGTGTTCCTAATTAAAGTTGTAATCACTTCATTTTCATTTTTCGAACTTTTGAAATCTAAACCTATACAATTTTTTTCTTCTAAGGTTAACAATATTTGGATAAGTGATTTAACCTTTTTATATTTTGTTTCTGACAAATTGCATCCTTTCGGTAACTGCTCATTATATGTATTTGATAAACTGGTCAAAAAAAACCATTTTACACCTTTGTTAGTTCTCAAATAAAAGTAAATCATGCTGTTTATAATTGCATACTGCTCAAAAATTTCAGCATAGAGCAGAGCTTTAGAATCAATTATAAATTTTTCAATACCAAATTCTAATGAATCTTGATTACTACTATTGCTTCCCATTACTAAACTTAATTCTTGTAATTTTTGAAAAAATTCATAATTCAATTTTTTTTTTTTATGAAATTGGTGGAAGTTTAATTTAAATAATATTTACATATCATATATGCATGTGGTTTTTAATTTTTTTATTAGGTCATGGGAGCCGTATTCTATTGAAAAAAATATTGTCTTTATAAATTATATTTTTTTAATAATTTCAATTAATAATTAAATTAATTACAATTAATTTTTACGCATATGTAATTGGATCCAAAATTATAAATTGTAATCTAAAACTATCAGTATACTTGACTATATATTGTTCTGTGATCTATAAATTATCATCATTTTTCTGTTAATTTCGGGTCGCTTAATTTCGCTCTATTAAAATGTCTGAAATCTCAGTGCAAGATCAAATTGCTTTTGCCAAAATGCTATATATTGAGCATGATTATGAGAATTGCTTAACAACTCTTAAAGCTATTAAAAATAAAGCTGAAAATGAAAATCAAAGAAACACAGTAAATATTTTTATTAATTTATGTAAAAACAAACTTGATGAACTCAAAGAATTTAAAGAAAAAACCACTGAAGAAAACGAAAACGATGTCAATGAACTAAGTGAAAACGAACTAAACGAACACGATGCCAATTAATAATTTTTGAAATCAAGGGATCTTTTTTTGATGTTTAATATAATAATACCTTATAATTAAAATAGAAAATTTCTTAGTAAGGTTAGGATAAAGTTAGCTTTAGGGTTGGAGGATTTAAAGTTTGTGCTAAAATTTTGCAAGGAATATTTTTTGTTAAAGCCCCAAGAGCTGTTTTATAATCAGGATTTTGAGATATCAATATACCTGTTACATTAAAACTCAAAAATTCTAAACAACCACTAAAGCATAAGTTTTTTCAAGAATAATAATATCGATCTAATTCAATTGTTTGCATTTCTTTTTTGAGAATATTTTATTAATATTTCTTCTATCAATACATCACAAAAAATAAAATTTTTGTTAAATTGAGAATTTTACCTAATGATTTTTAAATTTCATAAGTTAAATTTTCTAATAGTTGTTTACTCATCTCATTGATTTCATTTGACATAGTATTTATAAATTGTTTTTTTAATTTAAATACGCTGATTTTGTTTAATAGAGTTACAATTTTATTTTTTTCTCCTGTTGAAATAAAAGATTTAGTTGATGAATAAATTAATTTGAAAAATAATGAACTTACTATGATTTCGCATGATATTCTTGATTTTATCAGTTAATAAATTTATTTTTTCCAATTCATAATTTAAAAGATTAACTTTAGAGTTAATTTTTGAAAATTTAATAGTCATTTCATTTTCAGATATTGATCGAATATCTATATTTTTAAGATTTTAAAATATATTTACTACTTATCAAAATCGATTAAAGTTCTAGTTACAATTTTTGTTCGATAATTTTTGTGTGTTTTGAAACTCATTATTCAAAAAATTTAATTTAGCTTCAAACTACTTTTTGAGCTGATTCACAATACTTGAGAATTTATTTTCATATATATCTGAATATTTAAAATATGATTGTATTCAATATTTTAAATCAAATAAAAAAAAAATTTTTTTATTCCTCACCTTCTTCAATTATATCATCATTCTCTTTCTTATTTAACTGCTGTTCAATATTTTGAAAATTAAAAATTGATAAAATTACAATGATATAACAAACTATTTACCTACTTTAATATCCTTATTCTTCTCTCTTTCTTGCTTGAGTTTAGTTAAATTGCTCTTATAATTTTCATTTTCTTGCCTTAATTTATCAAGTTCATAAAGTAAATTAGTTTCATTATTCTGATGCTTAAAACTTGAAAATTTGCATATGATATAATTAGGTATATTTTAAGTATGTAAAAAAAAAAAAAACAAATAAAAAATTTGCATTATTGAATTTAAATTTAAGATTTCTTTTTCTAGTTTTTCATATTTTCTTTCAACACGAATTCTTAGAATTTCAAAGTTAGATTATTTGCTGATAATTTGGAATCAAAAAATTTAAATATACCTGTATTGTGTCTTAATTTCATTCTCTAGATTCAATTTATCAATTATGGATTGATAATCTTGTTTTTCTTGTTTCAATTTATTTATTTGTAGCCCTAGATTTTGTTTATTCGTTTTATATTTGTTGCTTAAAAATTTTATTAGTATTTTATAGATGCGCATAACTATGTTAAACAAACGCAAAAACAGCATTATGTAATACTTATATTTTTAATTTTAAGTTAGATATAACATCCTCTTGTTTATAATATTCATTAGTTATCTCACTAATCCTTTAGAATATTATTAGCTGTATTTCAAAAAAAAAAAAAAAATTAACCTTGACTTAAATTCTTTTATTTCATTCATATAGCATTTTATTTGCCTTTAGTTTTTTTTTTTTTCTTTCTCAAATTTATCTATTTGGCTAATGTATATTAAATTTTTGTTATTTAGAACTTCTATTTGTATCAAATATCTCTGTATTTCTTTGTTATATCGAGAAACAGAAATATTTGGGATTGAATTATTATTCAAGTTGTCAAGCATTCTTTCTAAGCTTTGAATTCGGTACTTCATATATTGACTAAATGAAGATATATTATTTGTATTCAAGATTTTCTAATATATAGTAGTATTTTTAACATTAATATTTAAGAATTCTGAAGTAAAATCATATGATTTGATCTTAGTTGATAATTCCTTATTAAGAATATATTCTGCCAAAATATATATTATCTTAAAAATAAAATCAGAATCCTCTTTAACTCTAAGATAAAGTAGTGTAAAATCAATTTCAATCCATATTCCTATCTTTATACATAACCATTGCTATTCAATATTTGTTAACGGTTCATTCATATTATCATCTGTATTTTCAAAAATATCTCCTAGTTTACTAAATAAAAAAATTAGTATATAGTGTGTATTTGGAATAGATTTTAATAAATTTAGTAAATTTTACAGAAAGTAATTAAAAATCATATTGACTTTTTTCGGTGTGAGATTAATTATATTATTTCTGAACTTTTTCTGTGCCTGTATATTACCTAAGTGGTTATTTTTTAATCCTTTATTGTAAATAATACTACTCTGTTGTAATGAACCCATATTAGATATTCATCAGTATCTTGCATGTTAATCGTAGATATAAATTTAATTTATTCCAATAAATGATTACTTTATACTAAATAATGCATGCTAACTCTTCATAACAACCCTATTATAATTTTCATTTGCATTGTTTGCTAAAAAATGTCAGGTGATAAACTAACAATTAAAAAATTTATTGACTAATAAATTTACTTTAAAATGTATGAAGTAACTCAATTCTCAAAATTAGATTAAATATTAAGTTTTATTAAATTTGAATGCCAATTCATTTTTAATTTTGTGTAAAGTTGGGACTAAAAAGTTTTTCAAAAACTATACAATAGTTTACGGACAACATCTAATACATTTCAGTAAAAAATAGTTTTACCTAACATGGTTACCATCATTGTCTTATTAAAGTATTCAATTATATTTACTTAACCGTAAAAAAAAAAAAAAAAAAAAAAAAAATACCAATATATTTCTTCGTCATCAGTAAAAAAATCGTCGATAAAAGAATCTGAGGTGTCATAATTATTGTTGTATTCTGAATAATTATCTATGCCTTCAGTATCATCTTCAATTTCTATTTCATCATCTTCACTTTCTATGATGAGACTTTGTCTACAATTTACACAAATGTTATCCACAACTAATGCAAAAATAACTAATTAATATTTAAGTCTACAATTAACTGCTGCTTGTTTAACAATTACCTTTATTTGAACTTTTATTCTTTATTTCTTTATTTAAATTATCAAAAAGATTTCTCCACGGATTGGATATAGCTTTAAACTCTTGTTTCTTTTTTTTAAGACGTATTTCTTCATCTGATGATTTGATACTGATAAAATAATCTATTATATCTCTAATAACAAAGGATAATACTAGTTCTTGTATGATTTTAACATGACATGTTGGACATTCTTTTTTATGTTTTTTAAACTATAAAATCATAAATTAGTTCGTATTGCAAAATTTTAAATTAATTTATGAAATAATTTCTACCCACCTATAAAGGCAAATATAACAAAAAGTATGACCACATGAAATAGTACAAGAATTTGATATGTAATCAAAGCATATTAAGCACTTTAATTCGAAATTATTTATAGTAGCTTTCAGTCCTTCTATAATTTGTTCTCTAAAAAATAATTCTTGATTCAATATTGCTATTTTTTTCATTGTCTCATCAGCGAAATCCATTTTAGTCATGTTATTTCTAACTTCGTTACTGCTGAGAAGATTTAGACAATTTATTTCTTTAAAACAATTTGAGTAACAATTAATAAAAACAGTATTGTTAAAATTTAAATTAAATTACTCAAATTAAATTTTAATTATGACAAGTAAATTAAGAATTAATAATATCTTTTATTTTTAGATAGTTCTGATTTATATATTTAAAAATATTTTTTCAATTCAAATAATTTCATTTTTTTTGTATCAGTCAGTTTTCTGATGACTAAAGTGCCAAACCTAAAAAATCTTATCAAAACCAAATTCAATGATAAAAAATATGAAGATGTGTTAAAAGATATTAAATTATTACAAGAAAAAAATTTTGACATCTTAGAATTTAATTACGAACACAAAGAATCTTTAAAAAATTTGATGTATCAAAATTATAATTTGTTCCAAATACCTGATTTCTTGTATTATTATGATACACTTTTAAAAAACAGGTTCGAAATAGACCTAAATCATAAAGAATATAATTTTTTAACTCTCAGAGATATGATAAAGATCTCTCAGGATTTCGTTATTAATTTGTCTGGATATATATTCCAAACAAATAATGAAGACTTAAAGGTGAAATTTTAAAAATAAGATATAATTACATATTTAAAAATCCTGATTTTAAAAATGCTAGTTTACCATTCTTATCTCTAGTTCAAAAAAAAAAGAACATGTTAGCTCAATTGGCTAAATAAAATTATAGCAGCTTGAACATAAAAATAAAAATTTTGTTTACTTTGACATTTAATTTAAATTGACAATATTATTTTTAAATATCAAGATATAAATTCTCTAAATTTTGAGTTTATAACATATTAACTTGAAATAGTTGAGAAATAATTACTGGGCTTTTTTTATTCAAAGATCGAATCTTGTGACTTTAACTTATAATTTCTATACAAAAGGCAAACTCGCCAAAAATATACTTGATCTCAATAATAAGTTTTGAGTATACGCAAAATTAACTTTGAGCGCTTTAGCATTTTTGATTGGCTAAAAAATTTAATATTTAGATATTTGTTACACATGATAAACCATGTCACAGGGTATTTCACCCAATTATTTTTTCTTAGAATACAATGTCACAGGGTATCTTGCCCAATTGATTTTTCTAAAATGTCAAAGTCATATGTAATTATAATTTACACATCTTTTATTTAATTCATCAGTAATTTGTTTAATAATTTTCCAAGTTAAATTTAAAATAGTTGACACAGAAAAAGTTTGAATCCGAACTATCATTTCTTTGCCTTTAAATCTATTATCATTTGTATTAAAACAACTAAAGAAGCAATATATTTTTTGACTTTGTTCTTTTCTTTTTCTATAGGCCATATCTAAAGTTTCGATACTTAGCTAACGCTTGAATATCTGAGTAACTTCGTAATTAGATTTTGCTTTATTATTTGTTGACCTGAAATTATCATATAGTCGATCTAAAGCTTCTCCAAGGTTGTAATAACTCTTAAGAACCGAATAAATTGATTTATTATGCTTTTTTTCAATACCAAAAATTTCTTGATTAAGTTTGTTTAAATTAATAGAAATATTGGTGTTGAGATCAAGACGTGATCCTGCAATAGTTTGTCTAGGTACCTCATTTAATAATTCATCAATAAGGTTTTAAATTTTTTTTTGACCTTTAATTGGCTTTGTTTTTTTATATTTAGGTGTTATTACAATTTCCTCGACGTTTACTCTTACTTCACTTTGATTTGAGCATTTAGAACAAACCTCGACCAAGCTAAACATCTGAAAAAAACACAAATAATGAAATGCATGTCCACAATCAAATAGCATAATTGGCTGCTGATGATCTTTAGTAAAAATTTCTATGTTACATTTCTGGCAAAGGTACTGATTAATAGTTATATCATAGATTTTAATATCTTGTAAATTATTTAGTATATGCAATACAAAGGTTTTAAGTAAATCATTACAAAACTGACTTGGGTTTTGAGAATTAGATATTTTAATAGTCTTTTACAATAAAAAATATAAACAAGCATTAAAATATATTAATTGATTTAAATTTCACAAGACAATATACAGGATAAAGCTTTTTAGTACATATATAAAATTAAAATTAGCTTTTAATTGTTTTTAATTGTAGTTAATACATAATTCACATAATTGATAACTCACAATAGTAATTTAGCATGATGGTTTTTTGAAAGCATAATTTTGTAGTGCATAATTCTGCTTGCTCTAAAAATATCTTTGTATTGTCTCCATAAGATAAACATGACTTTAATTATTTTTTTAAAACAAAATACAATATAAAAAAATATTTTTGAGTGAGCAGAATTATGCACAGCAGAATTCTGAACACTCTATCCTCTTGTCGAAAAGATTTCAAAAATAAGATGTAACTTCAATTCAAAAACAAAATGTATTCTAATTTTTTCATCCATATTTCTGTATTGTAATGAAATGCTAGTTTGTTATTAATCAACCATTACACAGTAACAACTAGTACATCTTTCCCCATTTAATGATAATTTGCAATGAGTACAGTAATCATGTGAATGATGATCTTCTAAGCGTTCTCTACATGTGACACAGTAACTACCCACCAAAATCTATTTTCCTTTAATAACATAATTACTACTATTATTACAATTAATATAAGAACAGTTGATCTACTTATGTTCCTTCTTACTACAATAATAACATCTTATGCTTCGGAATACTAAAAAAAAAGAAGGTTTTGATACATGTATGGCAGAATAGTAAAAGTAAGTCTGAAATATTTCAAAATTTACATGAATAAAAACTTATTTTCAAAATTTGCAAAATACAGTAATGCCTTATTAAACCAAATATTATTTGCACATACCACTTCGATTGCTTTTTTTATATTTTAGACACATTTTGCAAAACAGTTTTCTTTATGAAAATAGTAAGAGAAAGTAGGAACTTAAAAAATATTTATTTTAATAATTAATTGAATAAATAAAAAAAAAAATTAGAGACGTATAAGGTAGTAAATTAGTTTAAATAAAAAAAATAAAATTTAAATATTTATAGAACAGAATTTCAAATAGGCCAATTCAATATTTTATAATTAACTTCATTGTCTCTAATAAACTAATATCATAATTAAAATTAATTGTTTCTCTAATTAAATGTTAAAATTTAATGTCTATCCTTTTCTGCATTGTAAAGATTGTAAAGATTGTAAAAAATATGATTGAATATTCTCTACAAATAACTGTATTATATAAGTATGATTTTTTTTTGGTTCAAAATTTAAAATTATGTCAAAAGTCAATAGCAGATCTCGTTCTAGTTCGCCAATAGAACATGAGTCTAGTCGAATATCTATCTCTCATCAAAAGATTGATTATAATAATGAACTCCACAAAATTGAAATTTTGGTAAACAACCTTATTCGTGAGTTTGGCGACGTTCGAACTACAAAGCGTTTAGATCTTTTATGGAATCCTTCAGTCAATACTAGGGCTAAAACTATCCCATGTTCACAAAATTGTTTTATACTCTTTCGTAAGGATATAACTGCCAAATATAATCCACAAAAAAATAGCAGTAACAGTAAGAAGAGAGTTGGCAAAACCATTTCAGACTCATCAAAAATCATGAAGGAAAGATGGGCAGCAATTAAAAAATTTAATCAGCATGAATACAAATTCTGGAAAAAATTAACAGAAATAGCAAATTTGAAGCACAAATTGCGATATCTGAATTATAAATATATTCTGATTAGGAAAAAATATAAAAAATATAGATCAAATAATACTAACCATCAGGTGGATAATGATACTATAAAGTCTATAGAAATTGGATTCAACAAACCATTATCAGACAATAACAACTGTCAAAATAATTCAGCATTTTCTTTACCTCTTTCAGATGGTTATCTTACACCCAGTTTTGCACCTTATTATCTATCACATAGATATAGACAAAATATTATGGTGCCTGTTCAATTTACGCACAATCTTTACATAAACCACCAATATTATCAACCTTATATCTTAAATAGTTTAATTGACCCTATTCTATATTAAATGATTTTTAAATAAAATTAGAGGTTGGAGTGTCTGCACGCTTTAAAATTTTTTTTTTTTGTATTGTATTTGATTTTAAAAATTTATTAAAGTCACATTTATCTTACGGAGACAATACAAAAAGATATTTTTAGTGCAGAATTCTGGACACTCTAGGATACATAGTAAAGCCAGTTTCAACCTCTCCAATGTATACAATTACTGCTGTTTGGTTTAACGTAAATTAAGTTTTAATTTTTAAATTAATAATTATTAATTTATTTGAAGAATTAAACAATTATCTTCAATTAGTTAGTTTAATAGAAAAAATTTATATAAACTATTACTTTTAGATCTATTTAACTAAGCTTCACTTAATATTTGCAAAATTTTTTATTTTTTTAAAAAAATGACGAGTTTCCAAAAAATGGAAAACATGTTATTCCATGAAAACAAAGATGAAATCCTGTTCCTTTTCTTTTATTCTTAAATGAAATGCGTGGCATTTTTTCAGCTCAGTTTTCAAACTTAAGTAGTAGAGAAATTTCAAATATTATTTATAAATTATGGATAAGCTTATCTGAAAGTGAAAAAGAAAAATATAGAAAGATAGAGATTAATATGAGAAAAAATTTAGCTATTTCAGATAATATTCCTACTCAAAAAAAGTGAAAGTTTTCTAATAATTTTTGTCTACAGCTACAATATATAGTACAAAATCATAATTTAATAAGAACAATTCTTTCTTGTACACTTCCACTATCAATTGTTAATAATGGCGAATTTAGAAAATTTTGTAGTTCTCTTGATTCAAGATTTAAACTTCCTAGTAGTGATTTCATTAGAACTTCAATTCTCAATGCATATGACCAAACCAACAAACTAATTTAAGATCAAATCATAGAAACTGCAGAGTTTGTAGCACTTACTTTAGATTTTTGGACATCTTACTCTTATTTTAGAATAACTTTTCATTGGCTTACGCATGATTTTAAGTTAATTGAAATTGTGCTTAATGTGTCGAAATTTTCTAAAGACAAAATTTTTGAAAAACTTCAATTTCAATTGTCCAAATTCAAAATCGCACGTGAAAATATTGTTAGTATTACTATTGAAAATGAAGATAGTAATAATGCAAAAACAGCTTTATCACAATTGCAAATTAAATATATTCCATGTATGGCAAATATTTTACGAAATAGCATTGATTCAAAGCTTTTCTATACCAATAACATTATAAACAAATCAAAAAAATTAATTGAAATTTTAAATAATGATACAAATCGCCAAAAATTAAGAGAAGTTCAACCACCTTTTAATCTTGTAGATATAGAAAATGATTGGAATTCAGTATATCAAGCTATAAATAATCTAATAATATTGCAACCTTCAATTCTATACCTTAGTAGAGAAGATGAAAAATTAAAAGAAAATATACTTTCTGAGGATGAATTTAATATATATAAAGAACTTGATATTATCTTAACGCTATTCTATAAATTAACTGAAATGTTAAAACATTCAAAATATTCTGTATTGAGTTTCATAACTCCAGCAATCGAAAATATTAAGCAGCGCCTTAGTATTTATCAACCTAAAAACAATATAGTTCAGCAAGTAAAAGTAACTATATTAGACAATCTTAAAAAAATTTTTAATACACCCTCAATTTTTGGATTATATGGTTCTTTTTTGATTCTCGTTTCAAAAAGTTGCTTTATATTGAAAGTATAAATATAAATACTTTTCATTATTTGATTCATAAGAATAAATAAAGTAATATCTCTTATTTTATAGAAATTGCGATGCTAAATAATTAATAATCTTCGTGAACAATTTATGAAACTTTTAGAATCAACTACTTTAAACCCTGTTACAATAAATAAGGATTCGAAAATGTTGGCATTTTTTTATATATTTATTCAAGAAAATAGACAAACAGAATTTGATAAATATCTTGAATTACCTCAATTGGATGTAACTGAAGAAAATAATCCTTTGATATAGTGGAGTAAGAATAAATATTTGTTTTCTACAATGGCAAAACTTGCAAGAAAATATTTATCAATTCTGGCATTTTCTACCCCCTGAAAGGCTATTTCCAGATAAAAAAAATCAAAGTTAAAATCTTGAGATTATTAATTATCTCATATTCTTGAAATATAATTTGTCACTATTTATTAATTAATTAAAAAATGATGTGTAATATAACAATGTAAAAAAATTAAAATTGGAGATTTACATTTAATATACTGTAGTTAATATAGAATTTTCTTAAAAAGATAAAAAAAAATTTTTGTTTATTTGAGAAAATCCGTAAATTTATGTGGGATTACCTGAAACTCGTCATTTATATACCAATGTTGTTAGATTTTTGAAAATTTTCCATAATTTGGAATAATACTTAATTCATCAATTTAAAAATAATCTGATTTTTAATAGAACGTGTTGTCAATTGGACTATGTTCAATTGATTAAATTGTTAAATAATCACGAAGTTCATGGGCGTAATTCGAAATAATACTGCAATGTGTTGCTAAAAAATTTTAACAACTAATATATAATACATACTAAACAATCATTAACCAGAAATCATTATTACGATATAAACACTTTTATTCGGCAAAATCGTGTCAATTTGAATGTAAAAATTAAATAAATTGTATTTGATCTGTCTCTAATTCATGAAAATTTAAAATTTCAAAAAGAAATCAATATATAATTATATTTTTTGATAATTTTACTCTAATTAAAGAAACAAACCTTCTATCAGACATCAAAAGCAGTAATAGAGTTAATGGAATTACTATTTTCATTCCATGTAGTTATTCTTCAGTTTTAATACGTAATAATAAGAATGTAAATTCCAAAAATATGATTAAGGAACTGCCTTGGTTAAATTTAAAAATTCCAGCATTCATCTTAAATACTGGATCAGACACACTGTTAAATGAAAAAACAGCAACAAAACCTGCAAATTGCTTTCTAATATTTCGAAATAGAATATGCCTTGAAATTCAGAAGCGCTACCCATGGTTAAGCAATCATGAAGTTTCAAAATTAGCTAGAATATTGCAGAATATGTTAGATCTGAAAGTAAAAGAAGAGTTTAAACAACTAGCTGTAGTTGAACAATTGGAGTTTCAAAAAAGTAATAATAATAAAGGTAAAAATAAATATAATAAAAAAGAAAGAAAATCTAATAAAAAAACAAAAAGCAACTCTAAAAAGATGAGAAGTGTAGACAATTCAGCATCCGGTTATCTGGATATTATATCAAATAGGTTAAAAAATATAATTGAAAATAAAAAAAACTGAAGATGAAGAGTCAGGTAAAAGAAATAATGCCCAAGAACCTTATTCTGAAGTGTTAAACAAAAATAATGCCCAAAACCCTTTTTATGAAGGGTCAAGTGAAAAAAATATTATCCATACGCCTTATTTAGAAGAATCAAGTGAAAGAAATGATATTCATAAAGCTTATGATGAATATGCATCATTTGATTACTATCAAGAATTTGGGCAACTTTTCAATTTACCAGATGATTTTTTGGGCCTAAACACATCAAATCAACTTGGATGGAAGTCAACAGAAAATTTGGAGAATTCTTCACAAATATATGATTATTCAGTGGTAAATAATCCTAAAATGCCTATATCTAACTTAGATATACAATCATTAATGAGCTTTATAAATGATAAAAAATTTATGTGATATAATATTTTTTTTTTTTAATAATTTTTTTTTTTTTTTATCATTTTATTTATTTATTTATTTTTTATTTTGTCTTTGTGGTATAATTTACAAAAATTAAAAAAAAAGTTAAATCAAATTTTTATATAGATTTTTTTTTTTTTGTGAAAGAGACAATCGTTGATATTTACAAATCAAAAAATCGTTTCTAAGC